TGACGGAGGTCTGGGAATGAACAAGGGGTCTCTGTCCTGGCTGGGGCTTGAACAAACACCCACACTCCAAGAGGGTGGGCCAGGGCTAGAGCAGCCCACCGCCTGCCCCTGGGAGGCAGCGTTTCACCTGCAGAAGCCAGCTTAGGTTTGCCACGACCCTCAGACCCAGTGTCCTCAGCGGGCCCTGACAGCGTGGTCCTTGGCCCCAAGAAGTGTGTGTCTTTGAGTGTAAGCAATAGGAACCTGGAGCTTAGTCCACAAAGAGACATCAGAGGCTCAGTCACAGTAGGGCCCCAACCAAGTCCGGAATGGAAGGCGGGTCTACCTTGACCAAGGACTGTTCACTTTCATCTCCCTGCCAAGCCTCAGAATCTTGGGAGAGGGTCTGTTTGGCCGAACTTGGCTGGGGGACAACTGGGCTCTTGGATGGCAGGTCCTGCAGGATGGCATTATGAGAAGGGTGCTGTCGGGGACCGTGGCAGCAAGAACCGGGGTCTCCACAGCCTATGAGCATGGCAGGTGGCCTGCTCTGGGATCTCTGTCACGCATGGCCCTTTCAGTTGATGGCAGTGACTCGGGGGTGGTTTTCACAACCTCAAGACCTAGGGAGGCGCTGTGGTGTGCATCTGTCTGCCTCCCTTGCTCAGCCCCCCACACGGCCTCTGCCTGCAGCCTGGGACTGCTTAGCCTCAAACTGCTCGGCCCAGCCCTGGCGCCAGCTCTCAGGAAGTGCCTGTGGACCACCCAGCCGTGGTGTGTGGCACTGTGTGTCATGGCTGTTCTTGGTGCTGGGAATCCTGGGAAGGTCCCTGGAGAAGTGGGCTTAAGCTGAGCTCCCAGGAAAAGCAGATGTGTGTGAGGTGAGGGAGGCTGGCACTCAGGCAGCAGCAGCATAGAGGCATGGAGGGGGGCCAGGTTACCAAGGCCAGCGGGGCTGGACCGGGGAGGCAGTACAGCCATTGAGGTTTCTGAGTAGGTAGAGAGCCAAGCCTGCCTGTTGTAGAACTCTAGAGGAGGCTGAAGCAGAAAGGGATCCCACGGTCTTGGAACATTGACATCCTGACTTCTGGCTGGGGGACTGAGTAGCAGGAAGTGCCTGCAAGGACACCTGATGGCTGCCCGTTCCCAGCCCCGGTCCTCCCGGTGAGGTGCACCCCGCCCCCTCCCTGGGCTAAAGGCTGGGCAGGTTCAAAGCCACCTCTCTGACACGTGGCTAGGCCCCACAGCCTAGGAGGTTAGTACTTGCGGGGCAGCGCTGGGCTCTGGAATGTGAGGAGCCTGGGGGAGAGCACCCGGGGCTGAGTGCCCCGCAACAGCCACTGGGCCCTCTGTGTCTGCACCCCCATGCGTCTAGTACAGGGGGCTGAGTGGGAGCACAGGTTCTGGGTGAGGGAGGCCGCCTGCAGGAGGCAGAACCCCACACGTGGGTGGCCATAGGTCAGGTCAGCGGTGTGGGCCCCGGTGAGTGTGGGGAACAGGCAGACCTGTGTGCTGCAGCAGGGCTGCCACTGAATCGCCCCATCGACCTGCCACACCGCGAGACTGAGCGCCCCGTGCTGGGCTGATGCCCTCTGAAGGCACAGGAGTGGGGCAGGGGTACCCATTTTGAGCAGAGGAAAGGGTAGACCTTGGCGAAGGAGAAGGGATGCTGGGGTGCCACGCTGCCGCTTCTGTGGCCACCTGCTAGGAGCCCCGGGTCTGTGCATGCAGAAGGGAGGAAGCTGAAGGCAGGTAGCACGGGGTGTAGGACTCCTGTGCGGCTGGCCCGGGAGTTCAGGAGAATGCCACTTGGGAGCTTTTCTCCTGCAGCTCCAGTTCTAAGGGCTCATCACCTGTTGTCCCCACCTGCCCCAGCAGGGCCAGAGCAGTCCTTAGGCCCAGCAGTGGGCAGAGGGAGCCGAGTCTGCCAGGCTGCCGGCTGGGCCCTGCCTCAGGTGGGCCGGGCCTCAACTGTCCCAGGCCAGGTTCCATGTCAGGCTCTGGGGAAGCCAGCTGAGGCGCAGCCCTCACAGACTTCCTGCAGAAGGGGCTAGCAGCCTCCCCAGCCGCACGGCATTCCCTAGCATGGCACAGGTCACTGGCCTGGCCATTTGCAGCCCCGTCTTATAGCTGTAGCCGAGCTCAGGCAGCACCAGAGGACTGGTTCGTGCTGTTCCTGGAATGAAGTTCACTGTGGAGGCAGGACTCATCCAGCTGCCACCCAACAGACGAACCACTGCTCCTCCCTGGCCTGGCTTCCCAAAGCTAGACCCTGGGTTTGGGCCGTTGGGTGAAGATGACCAGCGCCCACAGAGTAGATGTGAAGTTCAGGTTCACGTGGCCCATAGACAGCACAACGGGACCAGAAGCCCCTCACAGACAGCTGCGCTCAGACGAGCTTCCTCAGGTCGTCTCCACGTGATACTCTGGAACACAGGCACCACAGTGCTGCGCCTGCTGGCCGCACCTATGGCACCCCGAGAAGGAAGGGGTGCGGAGAAGGAAGCTGTGCAGCGAAGGCAGGGAGCCAGTGAGGCCTGAGGGACAAGTGTGGGGAAAGCGAGGTTTTGTTATAGAAGCCACTCCAGGCTCTCCACAGATGCCATCACTGCGCTTCCTTCAGGGCTGGGTCTGACGGGAGCTCAGAGCCCAAAAGAAATGCTTTCCGTCTTGGCCCTTTCAAATCTCACCCCAGCACTGAACAAGGCCTAACCTTTGAATTTCTGATGTTAGAAGTGTTGTGGAAAGATGATCCAATTATAATAAGAGAAATGAAGTGAATTCTCCTGAGGTGTTGAGAATAGCTCAGGAACAGAAATGAAGAGGTCTGAGTTTTTGTCCCAGTTCTGCCACCTGTGAGTCGACTAACCTTAGGCAAGTTACTTCACCTCTGTGCTGGTTACTGAGGGTACTGGCCAGAGGCTCTGTAAGTCCCTTCCCCAGTGCCCTTTTGGGACTGTGCAGAACCCAGAGAGCCCTCAGTAACAAAACATGGTACTCAAGCCTTCCTTCCACTGAAACCCTGGCTCCTGGAATGCTCCCCTTGCCGGCCATAATGCCATTACTGTCCCTTCCAGCTGCAGCCCAGCTGGAACCCAGTCTAGAGCCCGTTCTCAATTTCAGAAATGCCCCAAATCACGAAGAAGTGATGTGTGTTCGGCGTATTCAGTCTCTGGTGGCCCCAAGGGCAATTATAGTCAAGAAATAAGTTGCACTTGCTGGGCCTACAGGAGCCAGTACTCTGCAGAAAGGAAACCACCAAACGAAACCTATGATCCAAGTCACTTGTGTCCACTGTTTTTGCAGAGTAATATTGTCTGAGATAACTTCACAGTCAAGCTCTGATTGAATTGTTAGCAATGGCTTTATTTGCTGCTTCGTCAGGCCAAGAGAGTAACCGCTAGATGAGACTAAGTCAGCTTTCCACAAATATATTTTTGCAGTGCGTTAGCATTTGTGAAAAGGTAAACGTATTTTCTGGAAGCAGAGTATACTTCAGTTTTGTTCCTGACCAACAGCAGACCAATCAGCTGAGGTCTGAACCCTAATTTTGTACCAGAATCACCCTGAGTGCTTGTGAGCACAATTCTTGGGCCTCAGGAATCCACTAAGACTTTCTCAAAAGTTCCCCTAGAGAAAGAGTAACTGCTAGCATTTTATTCAATTTCTGGAATGAGTTCTAGATGTTTACATCACATCCCTTTATACTGTTTGAAATGCTTCCCACAGAATGCACCTCACACACGCACAACAGTGCCACACTTAAGCCGACACCACAGGAAAAATTTCCTCCTTCTAGAACTCCCTGACGAAATATCTGGCTTTACCTACATGGCTGACTTTTGAGTACGGCAGTCTTGGACTTACGGCACCTCCCTGGAAGCCTGTTAATCACTAGCAGGACACAGTGGCTCACACCTGTCATCACAGCCCTTTAGGAGGCCAAGGCAGGAGGCTTGCTGGAGCCCAAGAGTTCAAGGATGCAGTGACTTATGATTGCACCACTGCACTCTAGCCTAGGGGAAAAAGACCCTGTCTCAAAAAACCAAACCCACACTAAAAGCATTGCTACACAGTAAAGAAACAAGAAATTCAGGATGAATGACAAGCAGCCAGCACTATTTTCTAGACAATTCTGAAATAAGTATTTTGATTAAAGCATAACCTTGTCTCACAAAAGCCTGGCACGTGGATCAACATTAAAACGTTCCCCATCCTAGACTGCACTTACACAAACCTAGATGGCATAGCCTACTACACACCTAGGCTGTATGAGAGCTTATTACTCCTAGAGTACAAACCTGGACAGCATGTTACTATACTGAATACTGTAGGCAACTGTAACACAATGGTATTTGTGTATCTAATTACAGTAGAAAATACCTTGTAATTATATGGGGCCACCATAGTTTATGTGCAGTCTTTGACATGTAATAATGCAGAGCTGTGTATCAAAAGGCTAACCATGTGATGGTGTGGTAGGACAATGTACAATTTCCCTTTTCTCTATTTTCTAAATTTTAAATGTGAATTTTTATCTTTACAATTTTGTGTAATAAACATTGGAAAATAAACATTGAAAAATTTCCCAACTTTTACACCAACTTTCTTATTCACCAGAGGGAGTTGTGACTTTTTTTGAGACAAGGTCTTGCTCTGTCAAACAAGTTGGAGTACAGTGGCACGATCCTGGCTCACTGCAGCCTTGAGCTCCTGGGCTCAAGTGATCCTCCCACCTCAGCATCCAAAGTAGCTGGGACTACGACCACCACACCCAGCTAATTTTGTTTACTTTTAGTAGATGAGATCCCACTATGTTGCCCATGCTGATTGTCAAACTCATGGCCTCAAACTATCCTCTTGCCTCAGCCTCCCAAAATGCTGGGATTACAGGAGTGAGCCATCACACTCAGCCAATCTTAACTCTTAATTATTGGAAATACCGAAACCTCAATGACTTACCCCATATGCAAGGCAAAATCTTATATTCCCAATTCACACATAAATAATTACACGAGAGATAAGTCAAAAATGCTTCCTTTATTACACAAAGCCAATACTGCTACTTCTAAGTTCAACTGTTGGTGCATCTCTATATCGTTCCAAGTGTTACGCCCGTGATACGAACAATGACCACTTCCAAATGTCAGTGAACAGTGGCTCCCTGTGAGTGTCATCATGGTACCTCTCCCCACTGCACACGAGTCAACAAACTGCTCTAGAAAATTAAGTTCTCCCAGGCCCAGAGTAAACATACTCGATATTCTTCCATACTTTATTATACCATAAGAAGCAAACTTCTGAAGGAGATACAATAGAAGATACCACAGGTGTCCTAGTTTGTCAATATTGTTTTACCATTTTCATTAACAAAGCAGATTACAATGTAGCCCTAATTTGCATTATAATTTGTTACAAGACACTGCACATTCTCCTGAAGACACACCATGATTTCCAAGATGCCAGGTCACTCTCCCAATCAGTGAATGGTGAGCTCACCGGCAGGTGCAGGGCTACTTCCTGTATTCCAATGATGTGCTTGAAATAGTGCTTTTGCAAGATCAGCGTGGATTATGTGGACACAATTTTGAGGCAATCTCCATTACACATTTGGTAGAAGTAAAAGACTGCCTGACTTAATCTTACTATTAGTGTATTAGTGTTGTTATATTATAAAGACATATTATATTCCATTATTCTGCTTAGCTCAAGGAAGAATAAAGAATTTGGGCCAAAATTATAACCAGATTATGAGCAATTTTCTAAGCAAAAGAAACAAAGTAAATGCTGAGATTAATAAAGATGTAATAATTCTCTTCACATGGCCTTTACTGTTTTGTGAACTGCATAATTTAAAATCCTGAGCTTAACAAAAATCTTTATAAATCAACTCATCAAAACAAGCATATGGCCAATAAGAATTTAATTTCACACCAACAAAACTTTAGACTTTATTTAGGGGCTGTTTGCATATGTTTACAGAATATTTCGTTTACTCTAAAAGATGACGAGACAGCTCCCCCTCAGTGAGACCCTGGCCTAAATATATTTGCTTTATTTATATAGCAAGAGGATAACATTAAACATGGAAGCTTTCAATTTGTGGCACTGAAAGACCTACACAGGGCATCCTTCAAAGGCTGCAATTAAGGATCCACCTAATTTTTCAGCAATACAAGCCCGATTGAGATCTTCTGGTCCATTTGCTTGACATTCATGTTTTATGCCTAGAGAGGAAAAACAACAATTCTATTTAGAATTATGGCAGCAGTCTATCTCTTTCTCTAAGATATCAAACTTTTAAAAGACCAGTTCTAATCTGGATAAACTGGGGTATATAGAAACACAGAATACTACACAGTAATGAGAATAAATAATTGTAACTACATGCATCAAGATAGATGGGCCTCACAAACGGCATTCACTGAAAGAATCCAGATTTACAATGCATATATTCTATTATATATATAGGTATAGCACACACAGTCAGCCCACACTAACCTGCGCTGTTAGAAGCCAGGGTGCTGGCTACCTTGAGGAGGAGGGGCAGGCAGAAAGAAGTGCTATGAATTGAAGGGAACAGCACCAGGGAGGCTTCTGCGGTGCTGGTCATTAGATTAAGAAATAACCATTATGTTCGCTCCGAAAAATTCATCACATTCTACAATAATTTGTGACATACACTTTTCTATAGATATGTTGTACTTCGCTACAAAGCTAAAAGACAGGTCTAGTAAAAAAATTTTCTTGGTTTTTAAAATATAAAAATACAAATTATTTTTGATTGCACAGTTGATTTTGTCAACTGTATTGAAAAGCAAACAGCTGGCTCTTCAATGGTATTACACTACACATTTATAAATCGATCACAATGAAAACTATGTGAAATATGTTACTGACTGCTTTCTTAGAACAATTACACTACCAACTGCAAAAACGAGCTCAATTATGGATTACATACAGTAGCCTCTCTGTAAATGGCCACTGTCTTTTAAATAGCTGCATGGTTATTCCCATCATTTAAAGACCATTTATTTCTCAAGCTGCTGAAAGCACAGGAGGTCAGCTTTTGAGCTACTCAGGACTGATCTGAGAAAGCCAGTGGATGCTTTCATTAGAAAAAAAAGGTAGCATGGTCACTATCTTTTTTTTTTTTTTGAGACGGAGTTTTGCTATTGTTGCCTTGGCTGGAGTGCAATGGCGCGATCTCAGCTCACTGCAACCTCTGCCTCTTGGGTTCAAGCATTCTTCCTGCCTTAGCCTCCCAAGTAGCTGGGATTACAGGCCCGTGCCACCATGCCCGGCTAATTTTTTTTTTTTTGTATTTTTAGTAGAGACAGGGTTTCACCATGTTGGTCAGGCTGGTCTTGAACTCCTGACCTCAGGTGATCCACCTGCCTCGGCCTCCCAAAGTGCTGGGATTACAGGTGTGAGTCACTACACCCAGCCAGTCACTATCTTTTATTATCACCAAATCAAGTGTGCAAAGCAATTCCCTTTACTGAAAGGCAATGCAGAATAAAGATAATAAGAAATCCACTCTGAACCTTTTGGTTGGGCTGGGAAAGTGTTGAAGCTCAAGGATTTAAAAGCATCAGTTAGCAATCCAGTGACACACTTCTGGGGGGTGCCAAACATCAAACCAAATGCACGAAGAACCTGACCTGGCAATAAACTATGCAGCAGCAAGGCTCGGGAAAGGAAGCAAGAATTTTTTTTCATAACTAAAAACAGGCTAGGGCAAACCTGTTCTACCATGAGAATATAAAAACCAGTGACAGTAAAACAAACAAAACAAAATCAACATCAGGCCAAGCCCTTGTGACCTTGGCTCACTCAGCTGTTTGGAAATAGCCATGGCAGGAAGGTGGCAGGGCAAACTCTTAAACTAAAACTCACACATGAGACCAAGTTTCCCCTTCTACAGCTGAGAGAATCAAGGCCCATGGAGGTTAAGCAGTTCTGGCCAAGGCCACACAGCAGTTAGACAGGCTTCGCCCTCAGTGCAGGCCTTTGGGCATTTGCCCCATGCATGTTCTTTCCATCATACCAACATTTTCTCCTGGCTGAAGTCTGGCCAGGCCATCTCATCAGGATCCCAGTCACCCAGTGGCAAGTCAAATAGAACTGACCAGCTCAGGAGTGGGTGCACTTTCCTTGGGACACAGATGAATCAATTACCTAAAATCATGCCATTCAACAGTAAAGCTGGAGAAAAGAGTATCCTTTCTCATTTAGGTACATCTCCCTTTTGCAACTTTATTATAACAACTACATTCAAAGGCAAGAGCAAATTTACCATTATGTCCAATGTTAAACACTCAGTCTCCACCTCCTACATGAGAAAACCGGCAGCACCTCAAACTAGTTTAAAACCAGCCTGAATAAACGATATATACAGACAACGTCAAGGGTAGAGTTATTAAACACAGGCTGGGAAGACTCAGAGCAACCAGCACAAAGCAGAAGATACATGGAAAGCCAAGTTCAATCTTCTGCTTTTCTCAAAACAAGTAACACTTCTACCTTGTGCCTGAAGCTCTGCAAAAAAATAAGGTGCTTCTCAGAAAAGGTGCTGCCCCATTCTGGGTGTTCACCATACCTCTACATATTCAGAGGTAATCTAGAACATACCTTGAAATTTCTTTTTAATTGCATCCTTGGAGCTTGCATAGATCATTTTACTTTTCAGAGGTGCTAGTTCTGGTGCCCTAGATAGAAAGATGCCAACAATGAAAAAAGTGGTTTAGAGAAAGTACAACTTGCATCTTGTCAAACATTTGCTTCAGTGTCAAGGGGAGAATCCTCAGACTCTCCTGAGATATTTTTTCTTAACTGCACATTTGTTCTACCTCCCCGGCAGCTCAGAGAGGAAATGCTACAGATAGGCGTAAGTAGAATTACTCAGGTTGACCAGGGTGGGAAAAAAGAAGAGAACCAGTGGTGGCAAAAGACAACCACCAATTAAAAATCCGACCACAGTGGCCATAATGAAAGAACCAACACTGAGTACTGCACTGTATAACTCAATTCTTTTTCTTCAGAATATTTCTGTTCATTTATTATTAATAAAGGATTGGATTCAGGCTAATATTTACACAAGGTTTTTGACAGTTTTTCTTGCTGGAAAAAAGTTTTAAAATACAGAAAAGTACAGATAATAATCTGTAAGTACGTGTGACCCAGAATTAAATGCTAATATTTTGGCACCTTTGCTTCAGATCGTTTTCTAAAAAAGAATAAGTCAAAAAAAAGGAAAAAAAAAAAAGAATAAATTACAAATAAAAGTCCTTTTCTTAGACTTCCCCAGTCCCTTCATTTATTCCAATAGCAGGTTTTGATCCCACAGGTACTTGTTTTCTTAGTGTAACATAACAATACATGTTTAATTATCTGGGAGTCCACATTTCAATAATTCTCTTGAAAAAAATATTAAATCCATTAGTATAATCTCATGATTCTAAATACAGCTTTCACAAAGATTTCTAAATGGCAACTCACCAATAATTATGTCTTGTCAATATTATTACTATCTTGTATTTATAAAATTTGAGCACGTTCTCCCTCTTGAATGGAAGCGTGTTGGAATAACAGCATATGTATCACAATACCAGCAGCAACACTGAAGAATGACTAGTAATGGACAGAAACCCTTGTCCCACTCAGACTGCTTGCACGTGAGTCCTTTTTTCCTCTGTACGCCAACCCACAAGCCCACCTCCATGCCACAATGCTAAAATATCATAGAGAAGATGCAGTACAGTAAGTCCACACTTAACATTGCCAATCGGTTCTTGGAGCCTGTGACTTAAAACAAAATGACATATACCAAAACCAGTAATTTTTTTCTCAATGTTATAACAAAACTACATTGAAGGAAATGATGCTATTTGAGGACCTGGTATATGTTGCTTTGCTTAAAGTTGCGGTTTTGAAGAGCCTCCTGGAGGTCATTGAGATATTACTGTATAGCTAAATACTTCTGAGCATTTAATAATTCCATTTAGCTGCCACACTTCGAGGACATTCAACAGTCATGAGCACTGGCATGTGGACCTCACCTAGTGTACCCCTTACCCTAGTGAGCAGAGATTCTATTCTTGGGAAAAAGGAAATGGGCAGTCTGTCTCTCAGAGGCTTATTCCTCCCAATCCTAAGGTCCACTGAAGGAGGCAAAGTCATCATAACCTCAGGACTGGCAGATGTTTGAGCTACAGAGTGGGTACTTTTTTTTTTTTTTTTGAGACGGAGTCTCGCTCTTTCGCCCGGGCTGGAGTGAGTGGCACGATCTCTGCTCACTGCAAGCTCCGCCTCCCAGGTTCAAGCGATTCTCCTGCCTCAGCCTCCCGAGTAGCTGGGACTACAGGTGTGTGCCACTACACCCAGTTAATTTTGTATTTTTAGTAGAGATGGGGTTTCACCACGTTGGTTGGCCAGGATGGTCTCGATCTCTTGACCTCATTATCCTCCCACCTCTGCCTCCCAAAGTGCTGGGATTACAGGCATGAGCCACTGTGCCCGGCAAAGTGGGTACTTTTCTTATGAAAATAGGTCAGAAACATAAAAAAGCATCAGCTGTTCTGATTTTATTCTAACCAAATTGTTAAACTACTTGAAGAGCTGCTCCTTGGGTGGAGTTTGTTATAGAAAATGGCTTTAATAAGTTTCTACCTTTTCTTAATAGTGCAAAATAAACCATTGCACTATCACTAAATTTCCTTTTCTTCTATTATTTTCCAAATTTTAAAAAACAAGAATGTACAAATTTCATAATTACAAAATACATAAAAAGCAGAAAAAATACCTGTAAATTAAGGAAATACTGACCAATTTAAAAGCCTAAACCATTAGCTGGCCTATCTGCCACTCAGCTGTGAATGCCAGAAGAGCAGGGACTTAACAACTTCACAGCTGTTTTCCCAGGCCCTAACACAGTAGCTGGCATGTAGTAGAAATAAAAGTTCAATAAACGCACCTTCATTCAAATCTTTGTTAATTTTCAGTCTTACGTACCCGCTTCAATGGACTCTAAGCTGCCTGAATACGTACACCCTGACCTCATATTTGCATTCCTCACAGCAGCTTAGTTTAATCAAGTGCAGTAAAAGCTTACTGAAATAGAAGTGAGGTGTGACCTCGAGTATCTTCCTTTTTAAACCTCAATCCTCTGCATCTCCTACTCCCATATCCCTTACACTCCAAACTATTGATGGCACACAGCTAAACGCTAAGTCCCTCCCTGCCTTGCCCCGACTCAGGCCAAAGTATCAAGAGAATCCTTGCCCCTCTAAAAAAAAAAAAAAAAAAAAATCAGGTGGTGTTACCATTTCTCCCTCCCCTTGGAAACTAAAGAATTGTATTCCTGGCCATATCAAGGAATGTAGTATAATATTCAATAAATGAGAGATTCAGATGTAACTTTTCCTAAAGCTGCATCTCAAATACTGACTTACCTGAAAAGACCAGAATAATTAAACAACATTTCAAGAAAAAGGCCATAAAAATAACTTCATAGCACTGTTTCACTATCTAGAGTAACACTGACCAACAGTTTTCTGCAGTGATGGAAATGTTCTGTATCTGTGCTACTCAATAAGGTGGCCACCAGTCAGATGTGGCTACTGAGCATCTGAAATGTGGTAATTCATTCAGCTAACTGAATTTTTAATTTTAAATAATTTAAATAGCCACATGTGGCGAGTGACTGCACTACGAAACAGGACAAATGTAGAGTGAATTATAGCAGGGAGGGAATGGTACCAACTTCTTCAAAAGTAGCAGACCACAGAGGCATAAGAAAGGGTATATATTTAAAAGAGCAGAAGGCTGGTTCCTGGCATAGCTCATTGGAAAAGTAGGGGTTTGGCTTATAGTAAGAAAGTTAAAAGAAGTGGAAATTTTAGCTTATAAAAGCAGTACATTTAGAGGATGCCTCCTGTCCTTTCCCTATAACACACACACACACCGCCCCCCTACAATCAATTACTGAGAGTCATATAGCAAGTAGACAGAAAACAGTCAAAATTTAGTTTTGGTCCATAAACATCAGCCCTGGTAACATTATGAAACCTATAAATAAAAATTAAATACCAACTGCAAATAGTTTGAATAAAAATTACTTTGGTGCTGGAACTGGTTTTCCAAGTGCTAACAAAATAAGTTTTACAGAGGCTCAATATTTCTAACATGCTTACCACAAAAAAAACATCAACTCTTCTTTTCTGGATTCTTTTGTTTCAAAGCTTGCATCATACAAAGCATAGCGACAATCTTTTTCAGGAAGCATTCCCACGAAATGCTTGAAAGAATCAGTTATGGTTACACCAACATCTCCAACCAAGATCTCTTTGCCTTCTTCTACAATGATGCACTTTTTGTCTGCACTGAGACAAAAAATGACAGCCTTCTTTCTTTTCTTGATTTCTTCTGGTGTGGAACATTTACGAACTTTCATGTCATAAAAAATGCGACATACTTCATCAGCTACTTGCACTCCTGAGGCCTATGATGAGAAAATACATGAGAAAAAGACTTACAATTTTTATGTGCCAAACGTAAAACATTAAATTCTGCTTATAGATTGGCATATATTTAACATTTTACAGGTATACCATCTAATTAAAAAACTAGAAATTTGAGCTGTAATCACTACTAATTTCAGACATCAAACTTTTTAAAAGATCACAAATATATGCCATTCATCACTACCGCACAGGGCTAAAGAAACATTCAACTATAGCAGCCTCTCCTAACCTAGAATTTTAAAAGAAGTGTTTCCTAAGGTGCTGGGTTATTTTCTTCTTATACAGGTTGCTTAGAGCCTTGATCACAGGCAGATCATCTTCCCAGTCTGTATGCTGATGACACCTAAAATTCCTTTCGTAATACACAGTAGCCGGTCATAGCTGCTAGATTGGGAAATTTTCATCCCTACAGCATCTCTTTCCCTAACTAAAAAAAAGATTAAGAGGTCTTTGCTCTACTCACATTTCAAAATTATGTGATCAATATTCAGTATTAGTCACCTGCCATTAAAATTTCACTTAAAAATTCCAAATTTTAAACTAAGATTAGAATAAATAAGAAAATGTCTACTGCTATAATAAAGAGGGTAGCTTAATTCGGGATTATACTGACCAGAAAAATAACCTTTCACTATGTTATACTTGCTATTCTGGGACAAAGCATAGTTAAACAAGATTTTGATAGCACAAGACCTTAAACCAGTTTTTAATTTTTTCATCTTGAGGAATTTGCTATTTACATTAACTTTACTATATCCATAATTTTTAATGCTTCATTAACTACTTTGTTTTGCATGTTAGCTTTTCTAAAGCAAGAATTATAAAGCCCAACAAGAGATGCCCAGGAGGCTCTGCCAGTCATGGTTGAACAGCACTGAGGATGATCAGACTAAGGGAAGAATGCAGACGATCAAATGTGTGATTGTAGGAGATGTGGCTGTAGGCAAAGCCTGCCTCCCCATCAGTTATACAACAAACGCCTTTCCTAAGGAGTATATCCCCAATGTCTTTGACAACTATTGCACCCAGACATCTGTGGATGCCCAAATCATCAGCCTGAACCTGGGGGACACCACGGGCCAAGAGGAGGAATATGACCAACTGCAAATGTTCTCCTGTCCCCAGACCAATACCTTTGTCATTTTTTTTTCCCACTGGCAACCCATCCTCTTATGCCAATGTGAGGCATAAGTGGTACCCAGAGGTCTCCCATCACTGCCTCAATGTATCTGCTATGCTGGTAGGCACCAAAAGGGACCTGTGGAGTGACTGTGAGACAGTGAAGAAGCTGAAGGAGCAGAGCCGAGTGCCAATGACTCCTCAGCAAGGCCCCTCCCTGGCTAAGCAGGTGGGAGCTGTGAAGTATCTGGAATGTTCAGCCTTGATGCAGGAAAGGGTGCATGAGAGATGGGATCTCGTTATGTTGCCCAGGCTGGAGCCTAGTGGCTACTGACAGGCATGATCATAGCGCACTACAGCCTTGAACTCCTAAAATTGGGCAGTCCTCCTGCCTTGGCCTCTCAGATAGCTGGGACTGCAGGTACATGACAAAGCGCCTGGTTACTTTCTTTCTTTTTACTGTTGAATAATATTCCATTGTTTGGATATCCCACATTTTCCTTGTCTATTCATCAGTTGCCAGACATTTGGATTGTTTCCACTTTTTGGCTAGTAACACTGCTACGAACACTCATGTACAAGGTTTTGTGTGGACATGTTTTTAATTCTCTTGGGTAGAAAACTAGGAGTGGAATTGTCGGGTCATATGGTCAACTTAGGTAAAATCATGCTTTGAGTCAAGAACAGTATCTTTAGACTGGGTGTAGTGGCTATGACTGTAGTCTCAGCACTTTAGAGGGAGAGGGCAAGAAGATCACTTGAGTTCAGGGGTTTGAGACCAGTGTGGGCAACATAGGGAGACCACGTCTCTAAATTTTTTTTAATAAAAAGGGAAAAATGAATCATAAGCAATAGAATTTAAATACGAAACAATGGAAAAACATTAATGATACCCAAATTGATGTCAAATCATTTAAGAAATAAAAATGCACATAAGATAAAAATAACCAACAGAATGAGAGAAAACATCAGAAAATCCTACAAGGAACTTGTCAGAATAAAGAACCCTTACAACTCAATAATAAAAAAGGGCAAATACTTCAATTGAAAAACAGTTAAAGGATTTAAATAGACAGTTCTCCAAAGAAGATGTATAAATGGTTAACAAGGATATGGAAAAAATGCTTAACATCAATAGTGATTAGGGAAAAGCAAATCAAAACCATAATGAGATACCTCTTCACTTCAAAACCATAATAAGTCACCCACTAGGAGGGCTAAAATAAAAAAGATGGACAATAACAAATGTTTGTGGGGTCATGGAGAACTTGAAACCCTGATATGCTACTGTAGAACTGTAAAATGGTACAGCTGCTTTGGCACGCAGTTTGGCAGTTCCTCAAAAAGTTAAACATCAAGTTAACACCTGACCTAGGAATTCCACTCTTAGGTATATATACACAAGAGAAATGAAAATGTGTGCACACCAACACCTGTACACAAATGTTCATAGTAGCATTATTCAAAATAGACCAAAAGTGAAAACAACCCTGAAGTCCACTTAGTGATTAACAGATTTTTAAGATGTAGTATATCCACACAATGGAGTATTTCTTGGCCATTAAAACAATGAGGTACCGATACATGCTACAACAAGGATGAACCTTGACAAACACTGTGCTATGTGAAAGAAGCCAGACAGAAAAGGCACCTATTGCATGATTCTATTTATATGCAATGTTCAAACTGGGTAAAATCAATAGACAGAAGGTAGACTAGTGGTTTCCAGGGGTTGAGAAAAAAAGGGAATGGGGAGTGACTGCTAATGAATATGGGATTTCTTTTTCAAGTAATGAAAATGTTCTGGAAGTTGACAGGAGTGATGCATACACAACCGTGAATATACTGAAAAACCACTGAATTGAACTGTACTTTGTGAATCTACTGAAAATCCACTGAATTGAACTATACTTTGTGGTATGTGAATTATACCTCAATAAAGTTGTTACAACAAATACCACGTATTCTCACTTATAAATAGGAAATAAATAATGTGTACACATGGACAGAGTGTGAAATAATAGACAAGGGAGAGCCGGGGGATGAGAAATTAATTAATGGGTAGAATGTATGTTATTGGGGTGATGGATACCCTAAAAGATCCGGCTTCACTACTACACCATGCATGTAGCAAAATTACACTTGTACCTTCACAAATTTATACAAACAAATAAAAAATAAAGTTGTTACTTTAAAGCCTGTGCAAGAATTCTGGGAGAAAGACACACTAAGATCCTAGCATTTACTTAATATTAAGGTAACTGGGCCATTTCATCATCTTATTCATTAAAGATCTCTAAATAATACACTCCAATGCCATCTACTCCACATTTTCTGTTTATAAATGAATATTCACTCTAATAAAGTGGCAGAAACAGAAAATTAAGGCTAGAAAATTCATAACTACACAATGTTAAGCACATTCCTACTTTAAAAAAGCACTTTTCTTAAACCTTTTACTGCTTTAAGAGTATATTTCTGATCTTTACAATGTATCTTATTTTTAAGCAAGTTAAGAATCTTCATTTTGCAACAAATGAATAAAATGTTCAAAGAAACAAAAATTGAAGAACTAGAAACAGACCCCAATCCCTCCAACTCCCTAGTCCATAACGTTGAAATCACATTTGACCCAACAAGCAATTTCTAAAAGCATGAAGGCAACCTTTAAAGCCTTATATTCAATCGACCAATATTTGAATACATCTGTCAATATCCAAGCATCTCAAACATTCTAAATTCTGATTTATAAATTAAATCAATGATTACTAGTAATCGAAAACAAAGTGAATGTGTATTCTGCAATTATAAAACAGATAAATCTCAGCCAAACCTGGCTGTAACTTACAAGCTCCTTAAAAGCCTCAGTAAGGAAGAATTTTGTCTTTTTTTCTATCAGAAATGACGTCTGTGGAGGTTTCTCATACCATTAGACACTTGTGCTTAAGGAAATTAACACTGAATACTGTGAAGGAGAAACTGGCACAAAAACTGGAAGCAGAAAACCAATTTTGAGACAATTACAAATATTCAGAGAAGAAAGCGCTGAACTACAGCAGTGAGGTTAAAAACAGAAAAATTCAAGGACATGTCAAAGTCAAATCAATATAGCTGAATGAGACACAGAAGAGTGGTATCAGACGAGCCCCGGGATTCTCTTAATTAGTGACTAGACTGCGATATATGAACAGAAAAGGAAATATGGCACAGTATGACACATCAACTCTGAAGATTGTGCAAGACATCTACATGGAGATGACCAGACAGCAGTGGAAATATGAGCATGGATTTCGTTGGAAGGCTTCACCTAATACATATTTTGGACTAGCCCACACCAGGGGGTCACAAATATTAAGCAGCAAATCTAGTTTCTCACCATTGAGTACGTAAAAATTAAAAAAAAACAAAAACAAAAAAACCTATCAAGGACACTAAAAAGAGGTAATCAGAAAACTAAGAAGAAAAAGTAAGGAGGAAGAAAGCAGCATCTTAGAAGCAAGGGAGAATATTTTAAGGAGGAAAGTCATCAACATCCAATTCTGCAGTATTTGAGAGAATGAAAACACACCTCCAGGCTTGGCAATTGGGTCTCTGAACATTTCAACAGATGGGAGAAATGGGACAGAAGTCAACCATAATGGACTGGGGACCCATTGGGAATTGAAGAGGTAAAGACAGAAAACGTAAGATGGTTAACAATGAAGGAAAAAGGGAAGACTGAATGCTACTTGATGAAAGTTGTCTTATGATTGGGGCGATGTAACTGTTCTAGATGTTTAAGAACTTGACGCCAAAACAAAACAAAACACTGAGTACTTACTACTGCCAGATACTTCTAAATCAAAACAATTCTATGAGATAGCCACTATCACTATTTGCATCTTTTTTTTTTTTTTTTAGAAAAGTCTCGCTCTGTCGCCCAGGCTGGAGTGCAGTGGCGCGATCTCAGCTCACTGCAAGCTCCGCCTCCCAGGTTCATGCCATTCTCCTGCCTCAGCCTCCTGAGCAGCTGGGACTACAGGCGCCCGCCACCACACCCGGCTAATTTTTGTATCTTTATAGAGACGGGGTTTCACCATGTTAGCCAGGATGGTGTCTCAGTCTCCTGACCTCGTGATCCGCCCACCTCAGCCTCCCAAAGTGCTGGGATTACAGGCGTGAGCCACCACGCCTGGCCTGCATCTTAAAGATGCAATTTTTTCTACTGAGGCATAGCAAAATTAAATACCTTGCCCAGGGTTACAGAGGAAACAATAGCAGAATTGGGATTTGAACTCTGGCAATTTGGTTCCAGAGGAGATACTTTTTTTTTTTTTTTTTTGAGATGGAGGTTCGCTCCTGTCACCCAGGCTGGAGGGCAGTGGTACAATCTCGGCTCACTGCAACCTCCACCTCCTGGGTTCAAGCAATTCCAGAGGAGATAATCTTAATCATTCATACAATTAACAATGTCAGAGATCTAAAGAAATGGTTAAGATCCACAGCACAGATGGGAGAGTCAGTCTAAGAAAAAGATACACATTTTTTTCTCTGAAATAAGGAGGAAGAGAAAATGACAGTTTTGAGGTGGAAGGAAGATATACTGCCAAAAATTGTGTCTGAAAGATTCTATTTTCTCTGTGAAGTATAACGCAGGAGGAGTAGGATGGGTTTGAGGGCACTCCTTCAATCTACTACTACTAACAATTCAGAATAGCTATAACGGGGAGTTCCAAAGGGAACCACCTAAGGACAAGAAAAAGGGCTCTGGGGACCTCCAAAAGATCAGCTGAGGTGAAGGGGTGGGGGTGGTAGGACAATGCGGCAGAAAGCAGAGGCTGACGGCAACGTGGAAGGAAATGACGAACTCTGCATTCTTCCTCAGAGACTTTACCCAAGCTCAAGCTTTCAATCATCTAAGCCAAAACTGACATGTTGTTCAGACTTCTGCTCTTCTGAGCTTCTAGTCTTTACATTCAATTTCCTATCTCACATCTCCAGTTGTTATGTCTCAAAGGCATGTCATGCACAACATGTCTAAAATAAAAAGCAAGCTGGTCCATTTCTAACCAGTCTTCCTTTCTCAGTAGCTATCACCACCCTTCTAGTCACATAAGGCTCCAAGCCTAAGAGACGTTCTTAACAACTCCTCCATTCCCTTACTCTTTGGATTTTCATCTTTCTCTGAGACATTCATCTCATTTCACCCTCAGTCCAAGCTCCCATTGCCTCTTACCCAGCCTGCTGTAACTTCTCAAGTGGCTGTAGAGGAGATAGATCAGGATATGTATACATCATACTGTTTTCTCTTCTTGGCTGAACAGGAAAGACTGCATTCCCCAGCCTTCCTGGCAAGCTGAGTAGGCTATATGACCGAGTTCTGCACAGCCAAGCTGGGCCCAGTTATGTAAACTACTTCCAGTCCTGGTCCTTTAAAAGTGATCTTTAAATATACTAAATACATACAGCTTTTTAGATGTGAATCCTATCACAATAAAATGATTTTTAAAACATCAAAAATTAAATAAAACTTAAAAAAAGTGATCTTAAAGCTCTTCTTTCTCCCACCAAGATGACCTTGGTAGGCATACTTCACAATGGAAGAAGGCTGCCCAAACCTTCTGGACTGTGTGTGACAGAGACAAATTTTTACTGTGTTAAGTCACTGAGATTTTGAATTTAATTTGTTATTGCAGTTCTAATACAACAAGATTGCCCATACCAACTGCCCATCACCTTTACCCTCCAATTCATCCTCTACATAAACATGAATCTGATCACCATACTTAAAACAGTCCAGTGGCTTTCCATGGATCTGAAGGTAAAAAATAGCAATATTTTTTTTTTTTTTTTTGAGATAGCGTGTCACTTCGTCACCCAGGCTGGACTGCAGCGGCATGATCATAGCAAACTGCAGCCTCGCATGCCTGGGCTCAAGTGCTCCTCCCACCTCAGCTTCCTGAGGACTGGGACTATAAGCATAAGCAACCATGCCCAGCTAATTTTTTAAATTTCTTTGTAGAGACAAGTTCTCACTATGTTGTCTAGGCTGGTCTCAAACTTCTGGCCTCAAACTATCGTCCTGCCTTGGCCTCCCAAAGTGCTGAGATTACAGGTATAAGCCACCATCCCCAGCCCAATAATGGGCTCCATCTGGCTGTACCTACCTCTTTAGTCTTCTCTTATAGACCATACACTCTGCAATTTAATGTTTAATATGCTCCACCTGGCTGTACCTACCTCGTTAGCTTTATCTTATAGACCACACACCCTGCAATTTCACTACCCTGGCTTTCTTTCAGTCATTTGTATTTGCCATGCTCCCGCCCACTTCAGGGCCTTTGCTCATACAATACACCCTACCTAGATAACACTTCCCTACAGTTCTTTGGCTAATACTCTTTAGAAGTCAGATCAATTCCCACTATGTAGAAAAGTCTTCTGCATCAAAACGAGTATCACATGCTCCCATAAGATCATGGATCTCTACCACACAACACCTCCCACCACTTCAATGCTCTATCTTTAAAATTACTTAGTATCATCTCCTTAAGAAGGCTACAAGTTCTTAAAGACTGTAAGTTCCTTAAGATAAACCGTGTCTGTCTTATTCATTATTGTGTTACCCTGAAAAAAAAATCAAAGATGAGTCAGATGAATCATTAGTTTGACTTATGGAGAAGATAAGGACAGCACATATAAAGCTTCAATACTTGGCAGAATATACATTATTCCTTGATAAACTCCAGTGGAAGGGAATTTAAAGAAAGTAGCTTAAACAGAAAGACAGGTTATCAGGTAGAGTTTCATGCTGACTTAAAAGCATTCTAAAACAATGGGACTGAAAGGATGAAAAGACTGCTCCTGACAAAGAGAACCCAGCAAATACAACATGAGAGGAAGATGAGGGAGAAGGAAACTGGAGACTTACATCGGGTTGCGATGGAAAAGGCCTCCAACAGAAGGTTCAGGGGTTTGGAGACTGGATATTTTTAAAAAGAGTAAGAGGAACAGAGTTGTGCTTTGGGAAAATACATGAAGTCGTGCATAAGAGAACAAGAAGAGGAAGAGAATTATAGTAGGCACTCCAGCTAAAAGGCTAATTCAGCAAGCAAGGCAAGAGGTGCAAAAGGCCTTTGCTAGGGTAGTGGCAAAAGCACTAAGGAGGAAGTGATGGGTGCTGACACTGCATAGGTGCAATCAATTGTAGCCGATAATCACTGGACTGGGAGAGGGGAGGTGGAAAGGAAGGAGTTGGTATGGTGATCAGGAGGCTAATTAATAATGCTAAATGCTCACTTTCCTTATTTCTCCACTGTGGTGGCTTTGATATTAGAGTAGTATGGCTCTTCATGACTAGTAACACTATATACTAAATTTTGCCTGCAAAAATAATAAAAAACCCCACAAGGTATAGTATATGTTAGATTTAGTGAATATACTTAAATTTACTATACTATGGTTTACTTACCACATCCTTGAAATAGCACTGAGATAAAAGAAATAAAGATTAAATAACTGGTTCCTAGATTCTTTTTTTTTTTTTTTTTTGAGATAAGGTCTCCCTGTGTCACCCAGGCTGGAGTGCAGTGGTGTGATCATGGCTCACTGCAGCCCTGACCTCCTGGGCTCAAGCAATCCTCCCACCTCAGCCTCCTAAGTAGCTGGGACTAGAGGTACATGCCACCACACCCAGCTAATTTTTGTATTTTTTATAAAGACGGGGTTTTGCCATGTTGCCCAGACTGGTCTCGGACTCCTGGGCTCAAGTCATCTGCCTGCCTTGGCTTCCCAAAGTGCTGGGATTACAGGCGTGAGCCACCATGCCTTGCTGTAGTCCCTAGGTTCTTGAAAATGATTTTTATACAGTAAAATGAAAACCATGAGGCAGACTGAGAGAGCACGGAATATGAACCCTAAAGCCCAGCTCAACACTGCCCAGGGCTCTGACCTTCTTCTAAACTCCATTCTCCTAGTGCCTGTGTATTTCCTCTCAATAACCTGGTAGCTCTGTTACGTCTTTGCCTCTAGTGGGTGTACTGAAAATCTGGGGTAAAGATTAGTAGGATGGAAAGAAGATAATGATTAAAGTAACTGCAATTCATTAACATCGCAGAGACCAGAAGAAGATATCTTAAAGCACAAAAATCATGAGAGTAACAATCCATCCACATTCCTCTACTAACTAGCTATGTGGTCACCTTAGGCAAGTCACCATCTCTGAATTAAATTTGTTCCTTTAACTGTACTTAGGGGAGTGGACTAGATCAGTTATTATCTAACTTTCATGTGCATAGGAATCACCTGCAGATTTTAAAGACTGACTCAGAATATCTGGGGGTAGAGTCTGAGAGTCTGTATTTACACTAAGCTTCAGGTGATGATCACTAAGATTGCTTTGAAATTTCATGAAACAGAATAAAATTGTAGCTCATTGCTATATAGGCTTCCTTGCCTACAGGAATAATTTTTATAATGAAGCAGTAGTGATAAGAGTATTGTATTTTACCGATACTAGTAGGCCCAAAGTCAAAGCATTTTTTGGGTGTGCCATGGACTCCTGGCAAAGCCCATGGGCCCTTTCTGGAAAGTGTTTCAAATAAAATAAAATATACAGGATTGCCAAAAAAAAAAGGTCAATTATACTAAATAACAGTTTATCTATGATAATAGTTAAGAGTTCCTGTATTCATTTTGGATGATTTGTTATCACAAAGCAACATCATGGTGAATCTTAAAACAAAAGTGGCTGTAACACTAATATACAGAATTATCTGCTTTACACTATTCACTATCTTTTTACCTAAAAGATTCTTTCCTATCAGTCCCATTCTTTTAGTATTTCTGTGTTGTTTGTTTTTTGAGGGACAGGGTCTTGCTCTGTTGCCCTAGGTGGAGTGTAGAGACACAATCATGGCTCACTGCAGCCTCAATCTCCTGGGCTCAAGCGATCCTCTTACCTCAGCATCCAGAGTAGTTGGGACTACCAGCAAACACCACCACACCTGGCTAATTTTTAAATTTTTTTGTAGAAACAGGGTCTCGTTATGTTGCTCAGGCTGGTCTCGAACTCCTGGCCTCAAGTGATCCTCCTGCCTCAGCTTCCCAAAGTGCTGGGATTACAGGTGTGAGCCACCATGCCAAACCCTAGTATTTCTCTAAAATGTTAGGTTATTACATTTAATTGCTCATTTGTCAAGACACCTAAACTTTATTTTTAAAAAAGCAAAATCAAATTGTTTTTACTTAAAAAATTTTCTAAGAGGTACTGATATTCAAGTACACAGTTTTAACAATAAAGACCATTAAAGGATACTCTGAACATAGCACCAAGTTTGCTGCACAAATGGGAAGGAAAATCTTGAGAGTAAAAATAGACTGCTATCATAACAAGAGCTTTGTGATTACCTTAAAAAGATATGTTATCCACAACTTCAGTTTCTCCAGTGACCACTGGAGAACAGTTGCTCTTAGAGCTCCACCCCCATGTCAAAAAGTAGCTGTTAAAAGTATGGTTCACAGCATTTTATCTCGCTAGACTACCAGTTTTTAACTTGTTCTCAAATCTGTCTGAGTCTCCTCTGGCACAGCTTTTGTAAAATAATGATTCAGAGATTAAATCAATACATCTGAGGCCCTGCCTGTATACTTAAGAATCACTCAGTGTAAGCTTCTTTAAAAATGTTACTACTCACAGAGGGAAGTAAACGTTACAAAAAACATAGAAAACTGGGTATTTTACAGTTGCAAACGACAGAACACAACTTAAAAAAACAATTCTCTCAATTCTAGCACACGGATAGTAACCTTTGAAACGTGAGCATTAAATTTTTCTAATTTGAGTTTTGTAAACAACTGAACCAGTCCAAAAGCTAAATGCAATGACGGCTTACAGCAGTCCCTCCTAAACCAAAAAATATCAGAAATGGTGGTCTTTTTCCGTACTACTAAACTCAAGTAAGACACCTGACTTTGGCTACAAAATTAACGTCAACTAAACTTCACATGATCCTTATTATTAATAGAGAAAACAGGATGAAAGCTATTTTAACTACCTCAGAAAATTATTAATTAAGAAAATTATTTTTCTAAGGTAAAGTATGAAATATTTGAATGTAGGATACTGCAGACAAATACAAATTTTCAAACTGGCAAAAATGTCATCAGCGTCTTTCTCAATCTACCTACTTCTACCAACTTCTCAAAGGAGTTGGGGAGTTAAAAACTGGGTTCGCGATTCTACTTTATTTACACCATGCCTTGCACAAGGGCCAACAGAAGCAAAATGGCTAATGACAAAATATTTGGGCTTTTGGCTGCTATAACTGATGCCTCGGAACAATAATGCTGAGACAACAAATAAAATGAGAGTGACAAGTTCTTCAGCACATTTCTGCTTCACAGAAGTGTTCAGGGTCTCACAGGTCCTATATTAAGATGCGGAACTGGGCTGGGCGTTGCGGCTCACGCCTGTAATCCCAAAACTTTGGGAGCCTGAGGTGGGCAGATCACTTGAGGTCAGGAAAGCAGCCTGGCTAACATGGTAAAACCCTGTGTCTACTAAAAATTAAAAAATTACCTGAGCATGGTGGCATGTGCCTGGAATCCCAGCTACTCAGGAGGCTGAGGCAGGAGAATCACTTGAACCCGGGAGGCGAAGGCTGCAGTGAGCAGAGATCACGCCACTGCACTCCAGCCTGGGCAACAAAGCAAGACTGCCTCAAAAAAAAAAAAAAAAAAAAAAAAAAGGCGGGGAGGGAGGGTCGGGGGTTGAATATATACATCTCCCTACCAAAACTCCACTTAAAGTATAAAAATGGGATTAAAAAGAAAAAGAACATAAATCCACCAGGACAAGGAGAAAAAACATGGAAGTTCAAATAAGGAAGAAAGAGTGAAATTGGTCTGAGAAGCACTGAGATCCCTAGACTCCCTCCTGAACATCATCCTGCTGCCAGCCCCTTACCTCTGCAATTCTGGAGTTTATTTTCTGGAGAGGGTAAATAGTAGTTCTGGACTAATCAACATACTGAAAAAGAGGATACAGGTGACCATATGTAAATGAGTGCTAAGACACTCTCCCCACCACCACCACCACCTTGAAGTCATGACTTACTAAAATCCTTCGTCCCACTGTTCTAGAGAGCCCTGCTGTCAAACAGAACTTTCTGTGATGATACAAATGTTCCTTTTTTTTTTTTTTTTTTGAGACAGAGTCCCGCTCTGTCGCCCAGGTTGGAGTGCAGGGGCACGATCTCGGCTCACTCCAAGCTCCGCCTACTGGGTTCACGCCATTCTCCTGCCTCAGCCTCCCGAGTAGCTGGGACTACAGGTGCCCGCCACCATGCCCGGCTAATTTTTTTTTGTATTTTTAGTAGAGATGGAGTTTCACCATGTTAGCCAGGATGGTCTAGATCTCCTGACCTTGTGATCTGCCCAGCTTGGCCTCCCAAAGTGCTGGGATTACAGGTGTGAGTCACCCGCGCCCAGCCAAATGTTCCTTTTTATCCCCCTCAATTTAGAGTTTATTTTGCCAGCCTTAAGGACATGCTGATGACATAGCCTTAGGCGGTCCTGAGAACATGTGCCCAAGGTGGTTGTGTGACAGACTGACTTTACACATTTTGGGGGGGCAGAAGTTACAAGCAGACATCAATCAATAAATGTAAAGTGTACATTGGTTAAGTCTGGAAAGGTGGGATAACTCAAGGGAACATTCCAGGACACAGGGGAATTCTGTAAACCAAAAGTATCAGAGACAGGTCTCATTCAAGTTAGAAATTTATTTTGCCAAGGTTTAGGACATGCCTAGAAGAAAAGAACCCAGAAGCACAGAAACAGTCTGTGGCCTATGCCTTTCTCCAAAGATGATTTTGAGGTCTTCAATATTTAAAGGTGAAACATGGCTGGAGGGGAAAGGAGGGTATGGTCATACACTGTGCAAGAGAAAAAAAGCAAGTAGGGAACGGTACATTATATACTGGTCTTGTGCTCAGTAAATCAGCACTTGACATAAGGTGAAAACGTTCCTTTTCTGCACTGTGTAGTATGGTAATCACTACCAAGTGTGGCTACAAATTTTATTTTAAATAGTTTGATATAAAGTAACACATAAAATTAACTCTCTTAATACCAAAGTAGTATGTCTGGAGTAAACAAATTTATTGACCATATTTCATAGTTTTCTGCCTCAGAAAACAATGTATTATTTAGCTTTATTGATGACTGCTGTCATCAGGAAACTCAGTTATCACGTACACAATGACAGACTAATGCCTCTAATATCAAAGTCACTCAAAGAGGAAAAAAAAGAAAAAAAAAAAGAATAATGCCTCCAAGGGTAAAGACTTCAATTCTAGTTTACTACAATTAACTATGGTTAACTATTTCTGAGGGCAAGGAAGAAATCCTGGGAGAAATTCAGATAAACTCTTTTTTTTAAAAGTACTTATTCTGAGTGTTAATTTGGAAAGAGTCAAAACAACCAAAATGAAGGATCATCATAAAGTTTCATACAAGAGAGCCTGACTTAGCCAGGTGTGGCAGCACATGCCTATAGTCCCAGCTACTCAGGATGAGGAGGGAGGATCACTTGGGCCCAGGAGGTGGAGAATGCAGTGAGCCAAGATCACACCACTGCACTCCAGCCTGAGCAACAGAGAAAGACCTTGTCTCCAAAAAAAAAAAAAAAAGGGCTTGACTTTAAGCAAAGACCTTAATTCTTACAGATGGCATAACAAGTTTGTTTTTTTTTTTTTTTAAATTCCTTGAGAAACAAAAGCCTAGTTACTGGGGAAGAAGTGAAATAATGGATTTAAAATACAAGGTTTACATAACATCAATAAAGGTAACTTCATTTTATGTAACAATACTACACACAAGGCTATTTCTGATTTTACAATTAACAGGGAAAACTGAGCAAGTCAAATACTGAATATATATATATTTTTAAACTGGCTGGGTTCTTCTCAAAAACAGAATTTGTAACATTTAACCTTAGAAGACCTTTTTAACTAGAGAAGAAAGTGTAACACAGGGTTGAATCAG